GATAAGATTGATAACTAAGTTGAGCACGAAGCTCCTATCTAATGGCAGACATGCCAGTCTTATATAGAACCTTCGTTCTCATGATCGTCGATGGTCGCTGCGACCAAGACGACCTGGTCGTTGCAGTCGCTCGCGACCCAGCGATCAAAACTGGTCACGTGATACAGATACTAAGAAATCCCTGGATCGCTTAGCTAGCCTAAGCATCCCTATTTGCTATAAGAGTGTGTGATGGTGCTTTAACCTGTCAGGACGCCGCCTGTTTCTTCACTTATCACATGCTACGCACGTGATTCGTGACAAGATGTCGCTCTCCATATTTCGTAGACAATATCCATTCACTCATCTACCAAAAGAGAAGGTCATACATAGACACACAGCAAACCTTTGACAAGTACTACCGCACCACAAGATCTTCAGTATTCATACCAAAAAAATGGCAAAAAAACCTCCTACCAGGTTCAATAACCAGACGAACTGAGATTTTGATTTTTTTCTCCAGTGTGGGGCCCCACCGCATCGAACGCTTTCTCGTATACGTGTACGCAATAGTTAGTGTGCGTGGCGCTCATGGATTTGACCACACACTAACTGACTGGACCAGGCGAGTAGATCCAGTTTTGGTGACAGTGAATGTGGTATTTGAGAATATTAATATTCTTTGTTGGTTTTAGTGGGAATTAATGTAAGCGAGGCGATTTGATTGGTTGTGCGGCTGGCGGGCTATATTTCGGGTGTTGGGGTTGTTGACTGCCGAAAGGAGAGCTGCGCTCGTGTCGAGTGGTCAACTATAGATTACAGAGAAGGTGTACCGTACGGTCGCGAGGGGAGAAGTAAGTGGGTAGGGGAGCACACATTTCCAAATCCTCGACGCGGAATGAAATAGCTATGACTAAAACCTCGGGATTTCAAACATGGGAATCTCTTGGGCTGCGCGCGCTATTCAATATCATTGTTTCCTCTTATTGATTTGTATTAAGGGTTGTCAAGGGGAGTAATGTGATCAAGTAAGCACAGTTGTGGGATAGATGGGCTTTGTAAATGTACAGCCAGGCAATGAGACGAGAGGTCCTTTCTTGTCATTTCGTTGCCCACAGAAGCGGTACTGGGTAACGCACTGCCTCCTATGGCTGTTGCTGACATCCAAAAATATACTATAGAATGAGGTGCAAATGTGTAAAAGAAATCCGTACCGACAAGGCGACCACAATGGCTTCGTGACTAGGGTAGTTTAGAGCGTTCGATTTGGCTTAACATATACAGCATAGATAGATATCAGATACGGTCATATTAAAATTTATATATATGGTAAATATGGAAGATTCGCATGAAAATAAGTAGGGGGGCTTGCTGTCTCTCTTGGAAAACTCGCTTAGTTGTTCCGAGACAAAAAGCTTTGCATAAGAGTAGGAAAAGCCAGCCAACACGACCTTCGAGTCGGAAGACGGCTTAAGTCAGCGTGGTAAATTTGAGTAGTTGAGTTAAGTAGTAGTACCTACTCAACTCAACTCGAGTAGTCAAAATCACTACTTAACTTAACTCGCTAAGTACTCGAATAACTTATAAGTAACTCGAGTAGTGTCGGCCCGATACCCCATAGCGCGCCCGGGCTCGCTAGCCGGACTCCGGGCGCTTCGAATAGTCGGTCTACGTCTGTATACTTAACCTTAGTGGAGTACCCCTGCCTTAGCGCTAAAAAAGGGTCTAGATAGCTCGCGTCTCCTCCTCCTCTTTTATATACAACTTGTAATAGGTAAGGTATAATCTTATAATATAATGGCCTTAGCTAATTAGATCGTCTGATTTATATAGAGGTATATTAGAAAGTATTTAATCAAGAAAGGGGGGGGGCCTTTATAATTTCTAGAATAGTAATAGGATCTTTATATGGTTAAGTTACGTTTTATATAACTACTCGAGTATTACTTAGATAGTTAAATCTACTACTTAACTTAACTTAACGGAATTACCTAATTATACTTATTCAACTTAACTCGAGTACTATTCGAGTTGGGTTAAGTATTTGATTAGAAGTGTTACCACGCTGGCTTAAGTTCAAGTCAACATACCTTCCACTCTGTAGAATGCCAGCCTAATTAAGATTAAGGTCACTCCCGTTCTTTCTACAACTGACTTCGTCCCTCTCATTCCTCTTTCACCTGTGAGGTGTTTATATGCCAATACTAAGCGAGGGCAAGTTCGTACCTACCTTCCTCGAAACAGCCTCACTCGGGTCGACTTGTAACGCACGACAAGAAGCGGGCTCGCTGGTGATATTGATCTCGTTATCAGTATACTATGACAATCCCAAAACCTAACGTTACAATTCTCATTGGAATAAGGTGAGCTCCGCTTTGCTCTTCCAAAACCAAATGCGCCACTTTCGTTATGGAAAAGTGATCACTGATAACTTGCCCTCTTCCATACAGCACAATCCAAAAGAAAGACCAGCACAGATGAGGCTTCGAATAGTAACGATAACTTAATAAATCGATTTCAATATTTTTGGGAATGAAGAATAATTCGATTGAAGATGTAAACTCTTGAAGTTTCTCACCAAATACTGTTGAGTAGAATCTGTTTAGCTATTTACTGTATAGTCTAGGTGGAACGACCTTTAGACCATCTTATACCGGACGACGATCTTGGTGAAAACAAAAGCATCTCTCATTTACTTTCCCTGACCAAGATATAGAAATTGCAGAAAGCTCGGCGCACAGTAGTCTAAAAAGGAGGAGTGAATCCTTCCCCCAAACCCCGACAATCAACCGAGCACCTCACAAATTACAACGCGAAAAATCGCGTCTTCCTTCTCCACATCAAAAACCATCAACCCCTCAATCCACGCAACACAACCCAAACCACCCAAACCAAAAAATGTCTCCCCCAACCACCGAACCAGAACCCATTTCACAACCTAGAATGGAGTTCACTAACGGCACCAACCCACCACAGAAAGCAGATCCCACCCATGAAGAACATCAATACCTAGATCTGAGCCGCGAGATCCTAGAAGAGGGTGAACACCGGCCCGACAGGTTCGTCCCTACCTCAATTCAAAATCCAAAAGCAGGAAGGATACCAATTCTCATATTGGAAATAGAACAGGAACAGGAACACTCTCCCTCTTCGCCCCGCGCCCCCTAAAATTCACTCTCTCTACCCCAGAAGGGCTCCCCATCCTCCCCCTCCTGACCACAAAACGCGTCTTCCTGCGCGCCGTCATCGCCGAACTCCTCTGGTTCATCTCAGGCTCCACGTCCTCTCTCCCTCTAACAGAAACCGGGATAAAAATCTGGGACGGAAACGGAAGCAGAGAATATCTCGACAGCGTAGGACTCTCACACCGCGCAGTCGGCGATTTAGGACCCGTATACGGCTTCCAATGGCGGCATTTCGGGGCAGAATACGTAGATGCGACGACAGATTACACAGGTCAGGGCGTCGATCAACTGGCGGAGGTGATTGAGAAATTGAGGAACAACCCGTATGATCGACGGATTATCCTGAGTGCGTGGAACCCGGCGGATTTGAAGATCATGGCTTTACCACCTTGCCATATGTTTGCGCAGTTCTACGTTTCGTATCCAGGCACCACCACGACCACCACAGAAAAACCAAAAGGAAGATTACATTGCCAATTGTACCAACGATCCTGCGACATGGGTCTCGGCGTCCCCTTCAACATCGCGAGTTACGCCCTCTTAACCCACATGCTCGCGCACGTCTGCGATCTCGTTCCGGGAACCTTCACACATACCATGGGGGACGCGCACGTTTATAAAGACCACGTAGAAGCGCTGAAGGTGCAGTTAGAACGGGAGCCGAGGGCGTTCCCGGGGTTGGAGATTAAGCGTGAGAAAGGAGGGAGCGTTGATGGGTGGAAGGTGGAGGATTTTGAGGTCCTGGGGTATGAGCCTCATAAGGGGATTGCGATGAAGATGTCTGTTTAGGTTGTGGAGGTGGATTGGCGTTTAGGGGGTTGCGGTGCATAGATGTGTGATGATGGGTTTGATTTTGTGGGGGAGTATGGGTGGGGAGGTGTATTGTTCTGTACAAAGCATCTTTCCGGAGTAGTAGAAATGTGAGATGATATGAGCAATCATATGATACTATGACATAATCTACTCCTCTTACGAGTAATAAACATGATCTAGAGTAAGAAACATAATCAGACGCAACTGTCGAGATGTGAACTCACATAGTGAATGCGCTAGCAGGCGCTAGGAACTGTATTTAGTACTTCAAGTCTCTGGACGCTAGCAAGTTCAACTGAACGCCATACTTCCATGACCACAAACCCAATACCAACTAAGCCATTAATACAGCAAGAGTAAACGTTTGAAAGAGAGACACGATAGATAGTAGGAGTAAAAATCACAATTTCCTCCCACCCACACAGCTCATCCAAGGATCCTCTCGCTTAGGCCTCGCTAGCTTAGCCCCCTTCCCCTATTCATTTACGATGGATCGTCCAAGACCTAGGGAAAGGGAAGCACTTGCATTTACAAGTACCACCAGAAAAGGAAGATTGGGATGCACCTCTAATAGGTAGGGTAGTCGAGAACATACATCTCCATACATTTCTCACAAAGTAAATCTGCACTTTCCCTTCTTAGCTTTATAGAATTGATGCTCCATTTCATCTATAGTACAACACCCACACTTACCCCATAAACTCCAACCCATAAGCCTTAGCCCCCTCCCCCCTCTCGACCGCATTCTCCTCCACCGCTCCCTTCCGATCAAGCTTCAAACTAACAGAAATACCCGATGGCCGGAGTCCACCTGTATACTTAGGGATCGACCTCACCTCCGCCACCGTCCGAAGCTCACTCGTCCTGCCCTGCTTGACCGCCACACTCGCAGCACTAGCCGTTCCAACCGCCAGGATGACCTTCCCCTTGGGATCAACACTCGCATACGAAGGCTGGACAAACACCTTGCCACCCCCCTTCTTCTCTGGATCTATAGACACCAGTCCGGGAATGAGTTTACTTTGCGCCTGGTTGTTCGCCTTTTTGCCGAGACGGAAATCGAATTCCTTCGATTCCGAAGCCGAAGGCGGCAGGGTGACGAATCCTCCCACGCCGAGCGTAGGCGAGGTGAAGGCCGCTCCCGCGGTACTGGGTTGGACGATACGGGCTTCGACCGGTGAAGCGGTTTCTTGGGGCCCGAATTCGGGGTGGTTGTAGATTTTGGAGGCGGTGCGGGTGTATGCTAAACCTGCCGAGGGATGGGTTTTGGGTGGTCCAGTTTTGGCGTATGGGGAGTTGGTTTCTGGGAACTCTGTAATAGGTGTATCCTCGCGGACGAGACTGAAATCCTGACTGGTGTTGCGGCTCGGTGCGACAGGAGGTAGATCGAAGAAGTCGCGAATCCTCATAAAAAGACCTGCCTTGTCCTGACGCAGTTCTTTGATGTGTGCATCTACTTCCTGTTCTAACCGTTGCTTGAGTGTCTCGTTTGTGTTTGATGCTGCCAAGTCGTAGTTCGCCCACTGATTCACTTCGTCCTCGTGTATACTCTTCTGATTCTTGGCAATCGTCTTGTTGTTTGCAATTTCCAAATCCCTTTCACTCTTCAGCCTCTCCAACACCTCTCTCCTTAAGAAATTCCGAAACTGGACTTTCTGCCTTCTGACCCTCTTCTCAAGGTACTCATTAAACTCCCCTTCCGTCTGACCTGCCAACCAAGGACCACTGAACTTCCACCTCCCGTCCACCTTCGACGTCGCCAACTTTCTCTCGTGAAACGTAGTATCAATCTCGTCCTCAAACACACTCTTCGATGTGCCATTAAAATTCGAAGGTCTACTACTAACTCTTGGCGTCTCAATTGGGATCCCCATCTCCTGCCACTTCCACAGCGACAAAGTATGATCTGCCGCCGACCCAAATTCCGTGATATGCTCAAATGTATCCATCGCCTCCACCTTGATTATTGGCGTCGAAGATTTGGTAGTTGACCGCAGAGGAAGCGCTCTTTTTAGACCCCAGTCTCCAATTTTTAGGGAGGAAGGCGGCGTCGCGATGGATTGGTAGATGGGATGAGGTAAGGTTGCGGTATCTGAGGTGAAGTCTCCCATGGAAGAGTAGAGCTTGGTGGGTCGTGGTAAGGGAGCTGGCACTGAGAAGACTCTAGATGCTCGCAGGAGGGAGGCTCCTGGACCGGATCGTGCCGCCATTTTGCTGGTAAGGAGGGCGTATGGTTACGCCCAATGGTTCAGTAGGGCTACGAGGCTCGATTCGGAGGATAGGAAGCGGAGATCGAGTTGGGAAGGTGTATCCCAATTATTTTTCGCAGCCGTTCAATTACATACAGATTGCATAGAAAGCCCTATTCGTCTGCAATATTTGCCCGACAATGAGACTTCGACGGGGCGATCAATCGTGGTGTTGTCGATTTGGAGGTTAATGTGAAGCTCCAATGAATTTTGGAAATGCGCGCTAAAATTGCGGGCCGCTTTGGTACCTTGAATATGAGGCATCAACCCAACCCCGCGGAAATAGGGACCATCATTCAATCTACTCTACCCACACCCTCATAGCTTTCCAAAACCACTTTTCTAAAGATTTACAATATGTTAAGCTCCTTTTCACTCTATTTCCAGATACCTTTCCCAAACTCTAGATAACAAACGCCCTAACTCCTCACTTCTAAAGTAAAAACCTTGATCCAGACCCTCCAATTGCAAGGCACTAACTAGCACGCTGTCCGCCGGTTCGTTATCTATCAAGCGAACCTAATGTAATGAAATTCACCGTACTTAAGTAGTCAAGCATATCGGTGGTACCTTATATAAAAAGGTAAGAAAAGTGACTTGAGTTATCTTGTCTACTCCCGGTTAACTTGACTTCATATCCTGCTTTCACATGACTTTTCAATGTAGAAAGATATACGGAATGAAAGAGAAAAAATATAATAAGAATTCATAGATTCGACCATTAATATAATGGGATCTCATCTCCTCGGAAATTGAGAGGAAAAGAGAAAATAAAATGAAGCAGAGAACGCCAGGTGCTATGCCTTCCCAAATGTACATATGTACAATCTTATGTCCTTCCTACCCCCATATCCATCCATACCCATTTCCATCCATAACCATTCCTCTCCGCGCATTTCCATTCCATCATATCATATCCCCATAAAACCCCCAAACCCGATCCATGCATGTACTGTGCACCGAAAATAGTTGATGTATCTCATCAAAATAGCTTATGCAGTGTAAACTCCATCCCTGCTCGCATCGACACGCAGGTCCTGTGGTATTCCCACCAACGTATTAAACGTCGTACTGTGCGCCTAAATCTCACACCCCAAGAAAGCCCAAAGAAAAAGAGAAAAGGTCAAGGTCCCATACAGCCCACTAAAACCGTACAGGCGTCGGACTATTCTGATATCTAAGCGGCGACTCCCCTTTCGATGATCCACTCGAATTCGTGCGTTTGAACATATGTTCTACCATCGCCTTGGGTGATACGAACTCCATGTCATACTTGAGTGGAGTAAGTGGTACACCAACGGAATGGGTATGTGTATGTTTAGCCTTGGAATTAAAGCGTTGTTTGATACAGTCATCGACCAGAGTGATGAGGCCAGTGGCGATTATGACGCTGAGGAAATCATTAGAATGTGATTAGGGTAATAATTGATAGAGAATAACATACTCTGCAACATCACTGAGTGCCTCCACCACGCTCTCATCACTGATCCACATGGAGCAAGGAGGCACCCATCCACCGGAAGCATTCTCCCTTTGGATCTGAGCTGGTGATCGTAACTCAGGGACGATATGAGCAATGGCTGGTCCCTCACCCTTATGTAAGTGGTAAGCAACGGATTTCCCACCCGAGTACTTTTCGACTACACGTTTCCAGGTGTATTTGAATCCCCAATAGTGAAACTCATAACGCTTGTTGTTTTTTGAGCCACGGCGCTTTACTTCAATCTGAGCGTAATTTGAAAATTCGAGCTTGGTAGTGTTGGTTGGAATGGATGGAGATTTCAATTTGAGTTCTGACATGAAATCGGCAATTTCAGTATCGTCTTCGTGAAAGGAGCCGCCATATCCACTATCCTGTCTTATGACACCAGCAGTGCTTTTTTGACTCTTATTTGACATGATGGAATTGGTTCTCTTGACATCTGGTTTCCGGATACTAGCAAAAGCATTGGACACAGATCTTGTCAAGGCTGGACGTTGGTCGGCAGCTGATTTGACATACTTCCGGGAGGAATGGCACACTTCTCGTCCGGATGAACGTTCATAACGACGGAGAGAAAATTCACGCTTCTTCAAATCCTGCATACGTAGATGGAACAGTTGAACAGTATCGTTGCTGCTAATTCCTTCGGTGTCCACACGAAGATTCATATTTCCATCATACGTCGTATCGTCATGGCGAATAAATAGTCTGTTCGTCGAGGGAAAGTATTCGGCAAAATCTCCAGGATTGGTAGGACGCAAATCGGTGTCCACCACTTCGCGGCACTCTTTTACATCGAAATCCGGATCTGATTCGTACGACTCTGGCTCCAAAAACAGCTCTTCTTCTTCTGATGCTCCCGAAGCATAGGTCTCCACGGATGATCGAGCAAAATAGGTCATGGAGGGGGACGTTCTGTACTCCGGTCTCGACGTGAATCTTTCCGGGGTCGAGTTGTAGGTATCGTACGTCGAATTTGGACTGTCATTGATTGAGGTAGGAGCTGTACTCTGAGAGTCTTGAGAATCTTCACTCCTTTGGTAATCCGCGGTGCTACTGCTTCCGCGGTGAAAGGTCGGTTGTCTTCGAAGAGGTTGATGCATGTTGTATGGTATGAGATGTTGTGTTGTTGATGGGAAGTTGAATATCAGTTGTATCTTCCTGTCTTGTGTTCGTCGACTAGTGTTCGGAGTAATTCTATGCGAGGGAGGTGAATGCTATAAATGGCTGGAATGGGTGACTGTTTCACAAATTGTCCTCCAGGAATTTTCCAAAAAAGCAACGATTTAATGACGGAGGGACCCGGTACTACTAGACATGGTTATATTGGTGGGGTTTGGTGGTCTTGGTAGCGGTTTTGATTTGAGTAGGCCAGTAGGAGTAGTAGCACATGGACGTGGAGATGTAACCCAAGTATGTGGCATGTATTATGTATCCCACGGATTATCGTCGTACATATTAAGAAGTGGTTCAATTAAAAGTAGGATGTTTGAGGAATTATCAAAAGGTGATGGTGAGAATGAGGGGGGGGGATGGGAGAGGGAGTGGGAAGATTTTCAGTCAGAGTTCCATGAGGAGATGAGGAGCAGATGGATGGAACTTTAGGAAAGAGCATGAGAGGGGGGGTGTGAAGTAAAGTGGATCCTGATCGGACGCATCGGAGCCAGAGATGAAGAAAATGGATGGGAAGCCAGATGGCGGCGACCAGGACCAGGGAGGTAAGGCGGTGTCAGCCGGGGAGAAACTCGCAGCTGCAAACAAAGGCACGGCTTGGCTGGTAGGGGAGGGCTTGAGAAGGGCAAGGGCGAGCCAGACCCAACTGTCACTACTGTCACTACGGTCACTACTACTCTACTGGCACCAGGATTCCAGGAAAGCATGGCAGGAAAGAGTAACTCCATGAACCAACTTCTCATTCGTCGACATTATTCTCACTCCCCCTCACCGTTTGGCCCAGCAGCACCAGCCACGGTGACTTGCTACGCATCCTCGCATCCTCTCGCCCATGTTCACAGGCTCGACAGGCTACTCGAGTATTGATGACAGGCCATTGCAGGGAGTTCATCCACCCACAGGCGCGGATCGCACCCATACTTCCACGCTCTTACCACTCGTCAGCCATGAGCGGCGACTTTGGATACGACTCTGCATCGAGGATGATTTATAGGATGATTTATCGAAGATGACCGAGCAAGCCGATGGCATGTGGTATGCGCGAGCAGAAATTCAGAATGAAGGCAGAGCAAAGTTCACCTTGAAGTTGCCCGACTCATGGAGATAGTCCAACGGCCATGAAAGCGAACGCTCTCGCTTTTACTGATTGGTTGGTTCATTCAAAGCGAATGAGACTTCTCGAGCGTGGACACACTGCGTAACCTCGCAGCGAATACCCGCCTAAAGAGGAAAACCATCGCAGCGATAGCCAACGGTGCAGGCGCAGCACCCTTTTGGGATACAAAGTACCACTGTACTCGGTACTGCTGGGTGCTTGTTGTACCTCCGTCCACGACACCATTCGCATGACGTGCACACGTCTGCTGTCCTCGAGGAGTTGGAGTCGATGTTGCGAGTAGCATGATACTAGCATCAGTTGAGCCACCGAATCCAAGACCGAGTAGAGACACCAACGGTCGCATTTGGATGGAAATCTCGATGATGAGCAAGAGGCAGCAGTCCGCCTCGAAGGTGCCCAATCTTTCAATGTTACTCGAATAGATGAAGAGCATCACCATTGTAACCTCATATCAGCCAGAAGTTGCATCTTACTCATCCATAGCATCAGCCTGGATGGGAATAGATGGAATAAATGGAATAGATGCATCCCTTCGCGAGCCTCACGAACTGGCTGACTGTCTGCCTGAGCGAGTAATCACGAATGGCCGCATCGCATGGAAGCACTACCCCAACAATCGGATTTGGCGCCTTTGCCTGCAACCTCCAAACCTCGTCACTCCACTCCCGACCAGAGACACTCCACCCAAAAACAACCCATTTCATAGGCAAGACAAGCCCACCACTTTCCTCGCTTCGGTCCACTGACGCTTCTTGGGTCTGATCACGCTCTCCCTTTTCAGCGCTCGTTTGTTATCTTTTTTCCATCCTTTTCATCTTCGTTCGGCTTCATTATCCCGAGGTCTCGGTTGTCGCCGTACCACAAATTAACCTCTTCTACCAGTATCTCGTGTCAGTCACTATATTTTAGTTCACGCGAGAAGCGCTTAATTCGGGTTCCAGATCCCAATGGCCACGGTATAAAAACACTGCCCTCCAGATTCTCCTCGGACGAAATTTCAATATCAAAAAACTATTCGTACACCACCTTTTCTTGCGGGGGTCGGTCGCCATATTTCCATACAGTCAAAAGAAATGCCTTGTGGCACGACATGACTGGTGCATCGGCACTGCAGGACTCGGAATCAACTATTGCAGTTGCCCGGTTTCTGAGGAACACACGATGAACGGGCTGAACGACACATTCCCGAGTGGCTTGGTCTTTCAATATTTGCTTCCCAGTGAAATACCAGTTCTTTCCTGCCTTACCGCTTGTCTTGATCCCACGAGGCGACGAGATCCTTCAGCCCAGAAAGATTGCCTTGTTTCTCCCCTTCGCATTCAGCAAATGTCAGGAGAAGCCAATCCCATGCATACGCTGATGACATTCTCTGTGAAATCATGGTTCGCAAATTATCTCATTGGTGTGGTGACACACATCTGTGAAGCACAGAGAGCACCACAGTGTGGTGGTGTAATCTATCCGTGTATGGTAAATTCCGCATGTGCACATTTCCTTTCTTCGGACGCGGAGGAGGGATCACCCTTTCCTTTTGCACTTGCACCTTCCAGGACATCGCGGGGTACAGCGAAAATCTTTTTCTTGGACGGCACCTGTGCAGTATATTTCCTTTTTTTCGGAAGGGATCGCGGTGCACTTGCCTTGGAGATCATTCTACGATGTACGATGAGAAGTTTCTTATTCGTAGCGCATGCGTTTCAGGAGGGGGTATATTGCAGTGTGTCGTATGGATATCGTGTGCGCTCCTGTTCTTTCCTCGTGGTGGCTTAGTGGGGCTGCGATATTTTCCGGTGGTACTATTGTACCCCCTTCCTTCCCTTCGCGGCTTTATTTGGTGTTTGTAGAGTAGTAGATAGATGGATTCCATTTGAGGAAGAGAATGCCTTGTTGGTGCCCAATGCTCTTCCTACCCAGTCACTTCTTTTTGTTCTCCATGAAGTCTTTTCATGGAAGGATACAGATAGATAGTCGGGCGTCCTCGTGGGCGAAGTTTCTCGCTCTTTTTTACTGTTATCACTTTTCACCTGCAGGCGCGATACAGCCTGGACGAACGAGCAGCGTGGCAGAAGCAGGGAGGTGTGGTTCCTCTGCCCTGTTATGTGGGCACAGTATGAAGTGGTGTACTACTGATTGATTGATTGATTGATTGATTGATTGGTTGATTATCACCAGAAAACCTCTCATTTCCCTTCATCGTAGAAACCCCCTACGATCTATAGATAAGAGACCCAACCTTACTACTGTAGGTGCAACTTATTATTCCAGTTCTAAGTACATTTCCTTATCGCTGGTCATGAGAAAGTATGGGGATTCTTGGTGAGGCATTAATCATCGTATGGAAATTCTAGCTTGTTCCTTCTGATTGGTGATTGACATGACTGAGTAGAATGCTATGTATGTATGTATGTTCAACATTTGAATGAATGAACGAATGTTTGGTTTGGTGGGAATGTGTGTGTGTGTGGACTGTGATCTCACATTACATGCCTGGGGGTAATGAATTTGGGGGGAGGAGTGCTGCTGGTTGTGGTTTTTATCATACTATAGCTATCTATAGTGCCCACCTCAAAGATCCTCTACTCTACTCTACTATATTAGTGTACTCCACTATACTCCACTACACTACAAACTAGATGGTCATGGTCGGTATTAGTTTAGGATATGGTATGGTACGTATGATTCAGTCCTGTCCTATGGAGGCTAGGGTGGATAGAGTCCTACGAATGAATGTAGGAGGTATATAATATATAAGTCTTCACGTAATTGTGTTCCAGCGAATTGGATGGGCCGCTGTTTGGGGTTGTACGATACGATGCCTTGCAGGAATTTACTGCAGTATCTTACCAGCAGATAGGTGTATGGATGGATGGATGGATGGATGGATGTGGCCGATATCGCTCGAGAACTTCTGGGATTGAAATTTAATTTGTTTTGATTTGGTTTGATTTGATTGGAGGAGTGGTTCTTGTGAGTGTATTGTGCTGTGCTGTGATTTATTGGGCGGTTGATTGATTGGTTGGTTGTTCTTACGGTACTCGGTTCGTTTCGGCATCGATATCGACATTGAAACCGAACTCGTCGGTACTGTATTGGGAATAGGATATGATGGGAGGAGTTCTCTCGGTTCTCGGTGCCAAAAGGGGGTTTCTTTCGGCACGTCGGGATGGAGAAGGCAGAGGAGAGGAGATAGGGCATCTTGGGCTAGGGTGTTGTATTCGAGTATGGATGGGTAAATGGGAGGGATGAATGGGATTTGACGTTGTCGCGTGGTGGGGTAAGATAGTATACTATACTGTGATCTACGATATGGTTTGGTCGTAGTCGAGTATAGGTGACATGAGGAGGTTCTTGCTGGTTTTGGGTACAGTTTGAGGGATCATAGGATTACGATGGGATTAAGTCATATGGGTATGTAGATTGGATTTTCTGTTTTGGTTTGGGGTAGGGTGCGCGAAGGATTGGGTTGGATTGGATTTGAACACTTATCTCTTTATCTCTTTCTTGTTGTGTTGTTGGAATGATGTAGTGATATAGTGATATAGTGATGATTGTACCCTCCTCCTTCCCTCGACTCGTTCGTTATCTAGCGAGTACCAGCTTGGTTGGAAGGAGAGAAGAGAAGAGGAGAGAAGAGAAGAGGAGAGGAGGGGAAGAAAAGACACGAGGTGATCTTTGATCTACATCAATTCGTGATGTGGGCTTATCTACCGCACCCCCTTTTGAGAGTGTTGTGCTTGAATAGGAGGGTGTATCTGTTTTCGGAATTCCGGTATTTGTTCTTTGGGATTTGGTTTGGGGGGTGGATATTGATTTACCTTGCCTTGTTTTGTTATCTTTGATCTACATCGACGTCAAAGTCCTCTAAGAGTAAGAGCACAATAAGATAACTTTAAACGGACTGGAGCTGGGAGGTATATCAGCATCAGTATCCAGTGACTTGAGAACTCGGTTTCTTGACGATCTACATGCCTATTCTGTTGTATTACATTCTTATCTGATTCGAAAATCAGTAAGATTACACCATTCAGCGTTCGACTCGAGTAACTCATGTAATGAGAATTAGCACAAAATATTCAAGTGTTGGATAAGACAATTATGGAAATATTAGAATAGGGGATATGCAGTATCGATACAGAAGTAGACAATTTACGCTGGGAAGCATCAGAACAAGAGGAGTAAGAGGCATCTGATGTTCTACAGACAACCCCGATCTTTAATCTTTTCGGTAGTTATCTATCTTCTTCTCTCTTCAGCCCTGTGAAGTGCACAAGTTTAATTTTATGAGAAAGTCTTCTACATATTAACTAGCTTTCACCTTGCAATTGACCTTGGACACGGTGAAATCTGCTAATAGTGACCTTGAAAGCTGATTGAAATTCGAAGGTTACAGCTTGGTGGTCAAAAAAACAGTTGTGCGTGCTACTACAATAACGATAGCTACTGTCGAAGATGATGAAGATCCAAGAAAATAGTAGAAAGAGACTAGCGAGCATAAAAACTGGGTTACAAGACTATGATATTTAAATAGGCTGCCTGAATCAACAATTTTCAACTCAGGCATGCTCAGACGTTTTATGAATCTGTAGTGAAACAGTAAGAATCTTTACCCTCTACTTATTAATGCCTCTGGGGAGACGAGAAATTACGGGAAATGCTAGCGTTATCTTGGCGTTACAACCAGAAGGCTAAGAGAGGTGGTCGTTACTCTGTACACACCTGAGTTACAACAATATTATCCTAAAGACCTTACACAACTAAATCACTTGTACGAATACCTTATCATACTTGTCACTTTTTGCTTTTGATGAATCTAGCTAAAATATGACAATTAGGTTACTTGTACTAGACTTGTAGCATAATAATTTTTGATGGAGTGTAAGCAGTGACCAGGCTTCTTACTGGTATGAAAATGAGTGAGCGTCTCCAAAAATCTTCTATTTTCCATTGACTTGTATTTCTTTTTTTGGGTTTTGAATGATTAAATCGATAACAAACGTAAAAGATGCATAAGAACAGTAGTGTAACACTGGAAAATAACTCGATACGCTTCTCTCATATGAAAGCCAACCATGAAATACTCACCATGAGCGCAGCACATGGCCTGCGTCCAAAGCCCAAATCCTTGCTGTCCGTTATCAAACAAATATGTCTGAAACATATCTTTTCTTCTCAGCCGCCCAGTCTTCTTTCCCTGTACTTTCATTGTAATGAACTGGTCGCATTGCATCAAGTAAATGATATGGAAGGGCGTCCCATTGTAACTCGTTGAGATGGTAGACACTTTGGCGGTATTGGTGAATATTTTCGCTAAACCTGCTGAAGAGGCTATAACCTTCATTTTTGACAGAGTCCTTTGATGGAAATTTCTGCAAAAGAGCAACAAGTGGGCTTCTCTCTCTTTTTGAATTCAAGCGCGCTTCTTCCGCCGCGCTCTTTGAATCGATCTCCGCCTCTGCCTCTCTCAAGTTCTCTTCCATGGTATTTTTCTTTCCCTCCTTCTTGTGTTTCTTTTTGTCATCGATCATTGTGTCTCTCGAATTTGCTGCTTCGGAGTCTCCCTCTGCCTCTATGCCACCTTTTATGCATGTCTCATTTGCCCTGCTCAACTTCTCAGCGGCCTTTTCCTTGAATTCATTGTGCCCATCCAGATGCTTTCGGCCACTTCCAGCGTGGCCGTGGTGGTTTTGAACTTCCTTCTGTTGTTTTTTAGCATCCTTTCTCTCCTTTTTCCATGCTTCTTCAAATTCTCTGTTTGTCTCATCCAGGTCCCTATCTTTCTCAAATTCGGCCAGCTGTATAGCACTGTCCCAGAATCTATCCCAACCCTCTCTGTCACCACCACGCTTCTTATCTTTATTTGGTCCTGGCAGGGACTCCAAAAGGTGGCGAAAAGACAGATTGGTGATCATACGCTGTTGGATCTCTAATTCCTTGTTGAGTTTAGATATTGTCCTGTAGTAGTCGTGGTGGCGGTCGAGATGCTTTCGAAGTTCGGCTATGTTCTCCAGTGGGTCATCGTGTGGTATTGGACTTCCACTTTTGACACAGATTTCTCGAACCTGATCCTTGAGCCTCTCCCAACGGATGTCCCTAGAAACAGCCCGATAAGCATTCCAAATAGCCTCTTCTTGCTTTGCCCTGGTCCACCCGTCTAATCGCTTCAGAATATCGCCCCGCACAATTGCTTGAACCACGAATTGCGCCTCCATAATAGCCTTGATGAATTTTGAGGGTACCTCTTCTCTAGCAAGCCAAATCAGCTCCATCTTTTCAGAGATGTTTTCATGCAAAAACTTACCCGAAATTCCTGAAACCAGGTCTTATGTCGCGACCATCCTCTTGATGGATTTGCTCTATTGTTTCGATATCATTCTGGTACTTGGCGCGTATCGCATTTCTGAGCCTCGGTTTCTGGGAAAATGAGATAATTGCCGAATCCAGCAAGTTCGCTTTGCCAATTGCATGATACCATGACGCGTCTTCTCTTTCCATTATCTGTAAGTCGAATATCCAGCAGCGGCATAATATCACAAAATCGGCCATGACTAGTGTACTGTCGAAAGGGTTTTTAGAGAGATGCTTAACTATACTTTCAATTTCCAGACCTTCGAACGTGGATTCTCCAGACCTCAGCCCCGAAAGTCTCATGCCGGTGCCGAGCAAAGGCTGTAACCAAGCATTTTGCCAAAGAAGCTCCTTCAGGTACGCATAGCCATTGTCTCCCTGACTAAGAATTATTGGCAGGACATCTTTTAGGAATATCGCCTTCTGTCGTTTGTCTCGCTCCAAAGGATCTTGGATCCATGCCACGTCACTATGTTCTTTCAAGAAAGCCGGATCCAACTTGAAATAAGCCATGGTTGACGCCCAAGGAGACCAATATCTTCTAACCTGCACCTAAGTCTACTCAGGTCAGCATAGAGTCAATCTTTTCTGGTTTAAGGACACACCTGACTCTGCCGAGCTCTTCACGCTTGTGTATCCCGAATCTTCAAGGTGCTTCTCTGAGTGTAGCGTGATATCCGTATGACTTGACCTGAGGTTCAGGCCGTTTTGGATGTCTGAACAAAATGTAGAGATCTCAATGGATTGGAACAGGATGAATGATCAAGTACAGGGAGTTCTTTAGATAAAAGTTGTGTAAAACGAATGTTTTGAGCGGCCTTCTATAAAAGCCAAACCTGAAGAGGTATATATAGCAATTGCTTCTACAGGCTCACTCATGCTTCGTTACTAGTTTTAATAAGATACATATGACCATGCTCATGAATTGATGGGTTTTGTGGCCGATAAGATTCATCAAGCGTAGTTTGCTCAGAATTTACGACAAATTGCGTATCACCAGTACTGCAAGTTATACAGAGGAATTCATTTGAGTAAAAAGATGGTGGAAAACACGTCATGTATGATTTGATTTAGCCCGCCAAATGGCCGCCTTCTACACAGGTGAGTGTCTTTGCAAAAAGCTGTCGCGGGTACTTCGTGGGTTTCAGGTCTGGTCGTAATTTGACTCACCATGGGCCTATTGTCTTCTCTAAGGATACATGAGAGATTCTCACCCTGGAAATAGGGAGTGAAAATTTTCCAGGTACTACCCACAGGAATCCGCAGTTGGGTGACAAATGAGAAATACCCCTACATGGATTTTGTTGGTACGACCTGGTTGTCGTAAAGGGTGATTGATACACAAACATAATCTCTCTTTGTATTCATTCGTGTATGAAGAGTAAAGGTAAAGAGAGGTGGTACTCTACAGACTTAAGTATGTGAGTAGCAAGCCACGCACATGACCTAAAGTATACAGGTCTACCAGGCTCTCGTACAAGGTGCTATTCACCAGAATTATATACCGACAGATTTTATATTTACATTTGAACTCGATCTGCTATGTTCTTGTCACACAGCCCAGAGCTAAAGGATACAGCTCACAGTCTATTAGGGCAAATTATGGAAGAAGTCATTGGATTCAACTACACGCGAGAACCTCTCTAGGCTATTCTCTCTGCTCAGAGAGAAAAGATTGCTTCAGTACCTCCTTCTTTCAAACGTCCGATCTTCAATTGTAAGCTTAGAGTATCGCAATATACCATTACGGAACGGACATGGGCGGATCGGGCACGGAATTACTAAACTTTTAATAACAAAAAATTACGTAAGTACTTATAGAACTCCTACTCTTACCATCGTATCCTTACTATTATATTATAGAAGGTAATAATAGCTTATAATTAATAATAAACGTATTAAGAATATAAGATATAAATATTAATATAATAATATTTCTACTTAAGTAAGATATAAGCCTTTACTAAACTAGCTAGGCTATTATATTATATTATTACTTTTATCTAATTTCTTGAGCCCCTCGCTTTTTCTCCTTTCTATAGAGTTAACTATAGTATAAGACTATAATAGTAAGACTAGTAAATATAAAAAGAATAAAAGAAAAATAGAAAGTGAAAAATAGTATATAAAAGCTACTAATAAATAAATAAATAAAATACCTATAAGTATTCCTGTATATATTCTTAATAAAAGGTAATTATACTAACCTTTTAATATAAATAAAATAAAACTATTATAGTACTATACCTAGACTAAATTAACTAATAAAGTTAAATATCAATAATTATTCTAAACTCTTTAGATAGTTTTATATAACTTAGCTATTTTAGTTATATAACACCTTTAGAATAATTTTATTTAAAAAGAGAGGTATATATAGAGTAACAACTACCTACGTCTCTTACGAGCGACCGTTACTATAGCTCCTTTAATATAAAAATGCGTATACTTATAAGAGACTTGTTTATAATTAAAAGTTTAGTAATTCCGTGCCCGATCCGCCCATGTCCGTTCCGTAACCATAGATTTGAGACAACGGGATTGAATAGCACAGAGATAAAAAGACTTTACTGTGCTTGCTTCTCTAACCACTTTGATTCTCTATTTCCATACGCAAGCAATTTCCAGAATCCTGATTCACATTCCCCAATTCACACTCTACAACACACCAGGACTAATACTCCCAGCTTTTCCAAGTGCACAGCGAAAAGTCTAAACCCAACGCTGAGTACAAAGAAAGAACAGTTATCGAGGACATCGGGCTATCAGAGTTACTTATTATCATATGCGGCCTATGCCATTAAATCCAATGCTTATTTTCGATGACTATATACAAAGTGGATCCTCCATATTCCATTCATTACCTACAAACAGGACTTGATAGTATCATCATTCCAGCCCGTCTGAGCTGCAGGTTCCACCGGTGATAGGACGCTATCAGCAGTACTACTAGAGTATAATACACTTCTCTCATGAGAGAATGGCTGCTGCCCAGGATTAAGATTTGTGTTTTCATCTTCCCTGCTCTTGTCATAACTTTGAGTATGGCTATTACTCTCTAATTCCATATCCCGTGAGTAAAGAGTGAAATTCTCTTCTTTCTGTTTTGTTGATACTACGGTAGAGACGGTACACCGGAAGCCTCTGGATGGAGTAGTGAAGTAGGATTTAAGGTGTGTGTAGACGCGGCCGAAGGTTTTTGCAGATAGGGGCATGCAAGGGATTAATACGCCAACGCAATGCTCAATGCTCCTGAGTTGTGGTTAGGAAGGAGTCAATTTTATGTGGGGAGTTGAGGAGGACTTACGAGACGGTCATGAAAGGGACGGTTTCGTAGTTGAAATCGTGAGAGTAGGAGAGGTGAATACGATAGTAAAGGTTCACTACACTCATTACGCATGTTCTAGAAAAGATCCTCGCATTAGCCGGGCGTGACCATATTATCATGTTCTCAGAGGAAGAAGACTTACCCAATCCCCGTCAAAAACATAAAGAATACCCCAATCTTCTTCCTCTTCTCCAGTTGCAGCCGATAGATCGCCGGTAAAGGAAGGATGAGGATATAGAAGTCAAAAAACACATTCACGGCCCCCATACTAATGGTCAAAGCTTTCATTTCACCAAAAATGCAACTCTCTCTCCCCATACCCATCATCATCGCTTTTCTATCGGTCCCACCTTTGGGGCCGCAGTAAACCCCTTGTATGATAGCCGCACCTGTATAGTAGAGTCCTGAGACGACGACACCAATAAAGACGAGTCGACGGATGTACTTTAGAGGATGGAAGGTGTGGTAGATTAGACTGAAGAGGGTGAGTTTGATCATCCATATTAGGGGGCCGGCGAGGATTGAGACGACGAGTGAGAGCTGGCTACTAGTCAGAAACAAATAGGATAGGTAGAAGGGCAAGTAAATATGAAAAGGATGAAGTGATGGGTGAGGAACTTACTACCAAGACCGTTTCCGTCACTTCTACAATCCTGATCTCCCAAGCATGAAAAACGATTACGCCACCAGATACCGCTTCTGACAGTTAGTATGTATACGCTGCAATCAACAGAATATACAAAATAGCCTTACGTGCAATCTGATTGCACGTTAATATCAACGCTGCTACCTATGATAGGATTTAGTATAGGACTCTTCAGTTTGATCTGAAGATCTTTCCTACCAGACTTGACAAGAAAATTTCTTTTTCGGTAATCAGTAAATAGTAAGTGGTACTACAAGTCAGAAGGTGCCTACAATCATCTATCGCCCATTTGCGGTTCCGCCAACACTTTGCATAGATTCGTACGAATGATAGGATGATCATTATTGGCACTACTGTTCCCGCTGCAACAATGGCTTGTCGTCCGTGCCATTTCCTACGCGATATATCGGAACTAACCCCCTGTACGGTAATAATGCAGTTAGTAATCAGATTAGAAAGACAGGTGGAAGGTGAATGTACTGACTGGAGGAACACCTGCTAAGGTGAGGTTGCTCACTGTGTCCCATGTTTCATCAGGAATCGCGAGGTCTCTTGTATCCCTTTTGATATTTACCATTGTCAATTTTAAATGACTGGAGGAGTCGGTCAAAAGTCCTCAGTTGAGACTCTGTTTTTGTGGAAATAAAACACAGCAGGAACGTTGAGTTTATGTGAAGGAAATGCGATCCGTTGCTTCCCTTATCTTATACAAAGTTTCAAAACATACTTACGCGGGTTCCGGAATACATTTTTAAACTTTATGGTGCATTTTTGTATGACTTTAGGAGCCGATTGAGTTGCTGTTGCCCTGAACTTGTTTCCAGGAAAGGTCATAGCAGACTGCCATTATGACGTGAAAAGTGCATGCCAAACGCTTCTTTTCCGTCCTGGGAGGCTTGCTACCGTATGGTGTATGTAAATTTACTGTACTCCTGTACTATACTTGTACACGAACCACAATACCCCACAAATAGCCGAAGAACTCTCTTGAGCGGGGTCATTTCCAGCAAACACCAAGGATTTTGGATTCAACATATCATTTGTATGTATTGCAACGCAATTACTCCCACACTTGAGAGCTGAAGCTACTTTCCTTCTCTATATTCCACTAGGTACGATGCGTGTAGCTTCCTAATGAACACATACCTCAAAGAGGAATTGAGAATAAGATAGTAAAAATGGTGACATCCGCGCGTATTCTGTGGGTGCTATCACGAGTATGTAGTACGAGAGGAACGAGCTATATCTTACTGCAGGCATCATGTCAACAAGGTGTACTCTTGTAACTTGGTGGACTACCTACCTCGATGGTGCGTGGAAGTCATGGGTATCCCTTTACTTTCTTTTGCCGACTGATAGGTTGTGGTTATCAAACTTTTACAGGAGATTCTTTTCTCCTTTAAACTTCCCCTGCCACTTCTACTCTTGCGGGGTAGTGACAATCGGATACATCGTCATACTCACCCCAAGATCGCGATAGCACAATCACTCTATCGGATGGTCGGTACGACTAGCCTCTTCCTTTATCAGTACTTGAATTTTCCTTCTACACTGTTCAGTTACAGGGGTTCCCTACATATCCCTGATTGGCAACTTAAAGTATCATATAAATTAACCCAACAACCTCATAGCACCAACCAATTTTCGGATCTTTCTTGGTGAGTTCGCAGGTGCAATGAATCTCCTCGATGCAAATTCCACTAACTGGCGCTAATATAACTCCTGGAGACTCAGAGCTACCAGTAATTAATTTTGCCCTCGCGTGGGGCCCGCTGGTAGTTTTATTTTGACTTTGAGAATTACTAGGTTTGCATTTGAGTCTGTTTGCCTTCCCAAAAAGTCATATGGTCCAAAAGTTCAGAATCCGAGTTCGAAGTTACTGAATATGTGCCTGTACGATACTCGGTAGGTACAATAAAAACTGCCATGATCTTCCGTATGAACCCAGTGACCCTCGGGGCGAAATGAGGGAGATCCAAACACTCGAAATCACAGAGGACTATGTGGGTATATGCATATACAAGACAATTGGGGTAACAACAACTAAGCAGATTGCAACTTCAAGCAACCGTGTTCGTAGAAGCTTTCACGCTTTGTTTTGTTTTCCTATTGGATCGATTGGCTCAATAGCAGGTCAGAAATGGGTTCTCCCGATCCCGAATGTTGACTGAACTGTAGTCAATGAACTCAGGAACGACTTTCGGGGTCTTATACCCTTAACTCAGCTTCTCGTAAACGAAACTTTCTGGACCTTGTGAGAGTTTCGCGGGGCAATGGACACATACATACCACCTATCGGCTCGCTTAGATGCACCGATGCCATATAAGGGAAGATGCGAACAGTGATTCCATAATCGTGACAGAATCAAGAAGTCGTAGGCGTCAGGCCATTAATGTTTACTTCTGGAGCATCGATCGGACTCTTCAGCAAGTTAATCAGGCTAATAACCTAATGCAAGTGAAGTTTCTGGTGTTCATAATGAATTCTCTGTGGGTATTTTCCGCTGAGAAGTTGCTTATAGGATAGAAACAACAAGTACGTTAATATCGAAACAACATCTCGTAGTAGACTAAGTATATTTATGGCATTTTATAAGAATTGCGTTAGGGTTAGATATACCATGGGTGGTCAGAATTCAAGACGCAGTCCTAGATTTTCGCCGAAAACATACCAAGAACTACGTTTTTACAACCCTATAACTCTACGAATTTATACAAGAACTATACGAAATATCTTATATATTAACTCTCTAGAGCCTAGAGACCAAGAGCATATGCGAGAGTCTTATTTAAAACCTATTACTTAGAGAGATATTCTAGTAGAGAGTTTTCTCTTAGTAAAACCTCTAGTAAATCTACTACATTTATATTATAATAGAGGTAGCGCTTTTATTAAAATTCTAAATAGTACAAGTTAGAGAAATTATCTGTCCTATCTCGAAACTTTAATTATAGAATATGTAGATTATTCTTTGTTTTATTATAATTTAGTAAAGTAGGGCGTTTTTAGTGTGTTTTCGGCGAAAAACTGAGACTGCGTCTTGAATTCTGACACCCCACCAAGCCCCCGGGTGGATAAGTATTTTGTAGCCTCTGATTGGCCAATTTTCGCGAGCACTATTGCGGGATGATTGTGGTCTCGGGAGAACCCCGGCCTTGTCACATGGTGGGATTTTTGAAAGACTGAGGAAGCGCTGAGTCAATCGCATCGTCTTTTGCGGGTCCCAATACACTGACGCCCCGGCCTCAGTTTAGAGCTGACTAAGCGCGGGTTTTCACGCCCCCCCACCATCCACGAACACTCTACTTATACCTATAATTAATACATGCTTAACAAAATAACATATAATAAATCCTACAATATATATCGCTCCGAGTCTCGCGCATACTCCTCCTCAAGTCTAGCCCATATATCCCTACTCCTATTCTCAGTATTCCTATTCCTATTCCTAATAAACTCTGATTCAAGCATATTATACTCATCTTGCTCCTTCTTTTCCTCGTTATCTAGCCATGCTATAATCTCCTCATTTGTCCAGTCAGCTTTATTTGTAATAATAGTACCTGTAAGATCACGCCGCTCCCTAGGCATATAAAATACCTGCTCTTTTAAAATTTTCGGCCTTGGTGTTTTCCATTTTCGGGCCTTACGATATTCTGCTGGCCGTATAGTAGGATGCTGGGCTAGCCAGGCTGTTTTTTCAGCTAGGTAGGCCAGAATTAAGACTTCTGGCCGATCTGGTGAAAGCTGCTTAGGTACAGTTGGTGCTAGAGATGCTAAAGGTGCTGATGCTAGAGGTGCTGAAGGTGCTGTAGGTGATGTGGATAATGTGGGTGATGTGGGCACTGTATCTAATTCAAGGAGAATCTGGCTTTGAGCAGCAATTGATGCTTGTAGTTTCAACGGGCAGCTACGGCTACTGATTGTGTGGCCTTGCCTGTGGCATGCAGAGCATTTTGTGAGAGGCCAGACCTCGAACAACTCAAAGGTGTGGGTTCAATATTCAATTAAGAACTACGTGGTCTGTAAATACATGTTCCTCCTCTACTCTTATACTAAATGTAGCATTTCCATTGCATTCAACACTGTTCCATAGTATTACCAATCTTCTGCGTCATAGCATTCTATCTTATTCCATGGCGTTCCAGAGGCGGGGTCGCTTAGCTTAGCGAGGGCTCTAGGCCCGAGCCCCACTATGGGTTCTAACCCTCACACATTTAGGTAATTGCTNATTCCATGGCGTTCCAGAGGCGGGGTCGCTTAGCTTAGCGAGGGCTCTAGGCCCGAGCCCCACTATGGGTTCTAACCCTCACACATTTAGGTAATTGCTTTGCTTTTTTCTCCCCTTTTGAGAGAATGCGGCCTGTGTGAGCAACCTCTGCGTTTGCTATACGCTGTCTACCAG